AAATGCAGTTCTCCTCCAAGGAACAGAACAGCAAGAACACATGCATTTGAATTTTGTAGAAGACTCCAGGTTCTGATAAACTTGATACTACAAGGCCTCATGCTGGTTTTGTGATTAGGAAGGGAGGCTGGACACAGGAAGGTCGTGTTTTTATAACGCAGCAGCTTGGGAAGAAACTATTTTTCTAGAAAACCCAAATGATGTATTCATTTTTTAAAAACCCATTTTGAACTGAAGAAAGACATAAAAGAGACTATCAGGAAGAGAAAAACTAAGATCTTGGACAGAGGTGACTAAGTGGCTGTCCAGACCATGCACAGCGTGTTTCTAAGGGTCTTTATCCAGCAGCATGTGTTTCATCTGCACCTTTTTATTTCCTGCTAAGACTCGTGCAGATGGAGTTCAGGGCCAGCACTGAGATGGTCATGAGTCTTGCAGAAAACACAGGAAAGGAGGCCATACTCTTCTGCCACAGCCACTTTCTGAAGCACAGCACCCATCTGTAGAGACAGAGATGGGGCCGGGGGAGTGAGGCTTAGTTCCAGGGTTGGGGATGGGGGTGGGGCTGGTGTGTGTGTGTGTGTGTGTGTGTGTGTGTGTGTGTACACACATGCACACAGCACTTTTGCAGATAAGTTCCATTTCTTCCCTATTGGAGAAGAAATTCTCATTGCTGACAGAGTTGGAAGAATCCATTAAACCGAACAGACCAATGGGCAGAAACAGCCTGGGACGCTCCCCCTGCAGAAACCAAAGCTGAGGCAGGAGGCAGGCTGCTCCCCAGCAGAGTGCCCAGCATAGGCAGCACAGGGGACCACACCAAAGCCTCCTCTAGACATAATTTTTTTATTTCATCTTTCTTTGATTTAAATGAAGGGGGCAAACAAACAAAAAAAACAAAAAAACAACTGACAGTAAGTTTCACCTTGGAGGCTTCAGCGTTTCTAGATAGCTTTAGGTTAAAACATTGAAAGCTGTGATGGTCCATTACATGGACCAGGATAAGAAATAATGATTAGAAAAATTCTAATGATGCAGATAAAAGTGTATTATCTATGATGTAGAGGAAAATGGAGATGACAATTTATAAATAACCCAGAGGGAGTAAAAAACCAGCCACGAGTTGTAATGTCTGCTCCTATTGCTTCTCTCAAAGGGCTTAAGACTTCCCAACAGTAGAGTGCCCACTGGGGTGATGGCCTGAATCCAGGCTGACGTGCTGGTGACCAGAAGAACAAAAGCATATAAAGCATTTTTGCTTTGGGTGGGGTAGGTAGCGGGGAGGGGAGATACAATGCATAAAATGTTTTATGTTTATCAGATACTTTTCTTAATAACTCATGGCAAGAACTGTTGCCTCTTTCCATGAGAGCAGATAAGCTATACGGTTAGTCCAGGTCTCTGGGCTATTGTTGTTAAAGAATGACATGATAACTTCCTTTCAACTGCCCCTCCATTCACTCTTGAGCCACCATGGAACTGAAAGAGCCTTCCAATGATCTTATCTCTGTGTTATTAAAGTGCGAGGCAATACCATGGTATAACGTGCTAACATATTACGGTACATTTCTATTATAAAACAGCTTCCTAATAATAGACATTGTAATTATGAAGGTCAAGTCATGCTCCTATACACAAAAAAAGCCTGTGAAGTATCTCCTTGTAACACAGATGATCTTTCAAAATAGGGATATCCTAAAACATACCTCTCCTTTACACTAGTCTTCTGCTCAAACCCTGTAACAGCCCCCCACCTCACTTTCTAGAGGGTGAAGTCCAAGACTGCTCAGTTCAAAGTAGATAAGTTTCTTGAATGCAAAGGCTGAGTCTTGGTATTTGAGGCTGTAATCTGCATCTTATCTTTCCAGCTTTATCATTTATAAATTCTACATACAAATCTTCCATTCAATGGTTTCATCTCCTAAAGTTTTCTGACATCACATCTTTTTTCTAGTTATATCAACTGATGAGAATATACTTCTCCTTAGATATTGAAGGACCAGAGTGACTCCATTTTTATAGGGCAACTCCATTTTGTTAAACCCACCTTGCTGAGAATCGGTGCCATTTCAAGGAGGCGAGCGGATCCCATAGGAGAAGGTCATAAGACCATCACCCCACTGGGGCTGACCAATGAGAAAAACAAAGGAAATACCAGAGACCTGAAGTAACTTTCTTGCCCAACTTAAATAGTCTGACAATCAATCAGTAAAAGACAACTATGCTTCTTGAAATCTACAGCCAATGTATAGCTGCCTGAGTGCATTCCTCAGCACCCCTCGACCTCCTCCCCAACAGGTAAATAAAAACTTAGCCCAACTAACACAGGGGGCTCTCGACTCTGATCCGCTGTGTTGGTGACAATTGAGAGTCCTGGCTCGAGACTGAATTAAAACGACCCTTGTGTGCTTGCATCGGAATCAGCTCCTTGGTGGTCTTTTGGGAATTTTGCGACTAGGGCACAATAATATCTTACATTCTTTCTTTTTCTTTTTTGAGAGATTTTTGCTATAGGGTGTGTGTGCTTGCTACAGAGACAGAAAGTAAGAAATCACCAGCCAGGGGGATAGACACACCACAATCCCTTCTCCTCCACTCTCTTCTCAGGATTTTGGGTACACGTGCACATGCACCGGGTATGAATTTCAAGTCACCCGCTCCAGAGCACAAACCACAGCCAGCCATGTGGGAGTCCAATGCCTCAACTGCTATACCACCTGCTGGCCACAATAGCTCGCATTCTTTAACATTCAATTCAAGCCCTATTCTTCCATCATTTTAATTCCATATTAGTCACTTGCCATTTATAACTTACTGCTTTGCATTGTTAGTCACCTTTCCATATTTCATCTTATTTATCTTACAAGTAGAAAATGAGTTCCTTCATACTGCTTCTACATACTACAAACTGGTATGCTTTAGACCACTGCTTCTCATTCTTTAAGGTGTGTACACTGAGTATCTTGTTGAGGGCAGTTTCGGATTCTGGTCTGGCAGGGAGTGTTTCTCACAAGTGGGCCACACTTTGAGTATTGACATTTGGATTTTACCCAGTTCTCAACACCCTGTACAACATACATGATTCTTTTCTCTTCCTAGAGTTGAGTCAAAGACAAATAGAAAGGTAACCTCCTCCAGTTACATAATACTAGAGCCACGTTAAGGTCTTCAGTCTTCAGACCTTTTCCATCCCAGGAAGCTACTTACTTTCCTTGGGGATGAGCCCAAATCTTCTAGCTCTTTGATTTTCTCCTGGTCTCAAGAGACCACCGCATGCAGCATGTACTTGGGGAACATCTGATGACTCTGTTTTATAACTCTAAGATCTGCCTATAGCCTTCCCTCTCCTTGGCCTCTCAACCAGCACATGAGCCACTCCTGCTAGCAATGTCTTTTCCATTTGTCTCAAAAAATAAGATTCTTCCTTTAAAACTTTGATTTTAGGACCAGCCATATAGTGGTTAAGGTGGCTGAATCCTACATGACTGACTGCTCAGTACAAAGTCTCAGACCTGGTGACCTGAAAAACATGCTGGGTGTGTCTTTATGTGTGCCCAAAATCCAGAAAGGAGAAAGGACATGGAGCAGAAGGGATTGTAGCATGATCATTACCCATGCTTTCACATCCACCCCTTTTCCCGTCTCTGGTGAGGCCATGTACTCTCTGACAAATTAAAAAAAAAAATAAAAAAGAACTTTGATTTTAAATTTCTTCAAAAGGCATTAAAATATGACCCCATCTGGCTTTAGTCAGCCTATCTTTCCAGGAAAACATACTAAACCTGCAAGCTTTCTATTTCTTCAAATATTTGGCTCTTAGAAAAACCCTTAAAGCCCTGTAAAGGTGCAGTTGGATATGCAAGTTGCAGATAATAGGTGTCAGTAAAAAGCATGAAAGTCATTCCTAAAGCTAAAAACACTCTAAATAAGTAACATTTATATTAGATATACAGCTCCCTGCATTTGTACTGTTGCCTATACAGTTATATCTTTGTAGCTTTTTAGCCAGAGACTGTTACAGAAATGTAGACCCCCTAAGGAGCCCTAAATGAGGCCCAAAGAGGTTAAATAAAGTCAAACTAAGATGTCACAGGTGGGCGGAGGTAGGGAGAGGCAGCCTCCTCCTCACCTGTAATGACGAAGCCCAGCAGCAAGCATGGGATGTGCACACTGCACCCACTAAGTCACAGACATAGAGTTTTATACCTAAAAAGGACATTGGAATTTATTTAATTTAGCCTCTTATTCTCTTATTATGTTAAAGAAATAAAGTCCAGAGCAGCCAGGTAGACTCCCTGGGAGCAGCATAGCTAGTTAGGAACAAGTCCACTGACGTGCAGCCAGTGCCCTTTTCCCCACATGCCAACCATCCTGAGTACATAGCACAGCTTTACAGAGGAAATAACAAGCTCCAGGTGCTTCTTTGTGTAGCTGGAAGCACTGCCCTGATTGCTGTCTATTCATGGCCATTAATAAGTGCAACTCTGCTTGGGTTTCACAGCGTGTTTGGATTTCAAAATACATTTCATTCAAAGGAACAGCTAAGTCTAACTTTCGTGTTTCAATGGTTCTCATCAAAGCATCAAGTTCAATTATAAAAACATGCATACTGACAATTCAAATTGGAATAAAAGGGTAATTCTTTAATTTACTGATTTTCTCTCCTGCTAAGGGCATTCATCCATATACAATTAGCATTTCCTTTGTAATACTGGAGAACCTCAAAATGCCAAGGTGTAAGGCGGGGAATTAGAGGAAAGCTTCTTGGTCAAAGGATCTGTAAATGTATAATTTTTACTTATGTTGCACACACCAACTACCAATATTTGTCTTGATTCTCCAAAAGTGATAGTATAAGGGATAGCCTTTATCATTGGGGTTTCAAATATTCAAAGGACAGTGTACCCTAAATAAGGAGGTAGAAGAGTTAGCTCATCCAGCCCTCCTGGACTTTCTCTAAATCTTACAGATTGGGTTGGGGGGAAGGGCAGTAGGTTTACCGTTCTCAATCTCGTAGTCAGCAAAAGCAAGTTCAGAGCCTTTGTTGGTGATCAGGAGCTCCCCATTCAGTGTGAAGATCATTGAAGCATCATCCAGGTTAATCATACATCCAACCACATCTCCTGGCTGCCAGGTACGTCCAAAATACCCACTCCCTTGATGCCAACGCTGGCCCTAGAAAACAAGACCCCAGGCTTTGAGAAATGGAGGTCTTGGAAGCCGCCCTGCCCCACGCCAAGCCAAAGAGATGACCACATCAGCAACATCATATGACTACTGGGTTGTCGGAAAAGTCATGATGAATTTTTGTGCAGAAAAACACAGAACAAATTCGTCATGACTTTTTAATAGTGGTATGATTTCTGTAGGGCACTTGCCTCTCTACCAAGGATAACTCATGGGGAAGGGTGGTCTAACCTTACAGATGAATGGAGCTGAGGCACACAAGGCCTATCAAAAAGTGGCTCAAGTCTCTTGAGTCCTAGTCAGCTATGGTAATTAATAGGATTCTCTCAGTAAGATTTCCTAATACACACTGACTGCATATGTCCTGTGAGTTGCCTCTGGAGTGGAATGGAACGGACTCAGCTGTAAGAGTAAATATAGAGGTGACTACAGAAAGGACTTGGGCATACAGTCTTCTCCTTCACTAGAACAAAAAAAACCAATCACCATGAAATGTTCACTCAATGTCTAGGTTAGCCAGTGATGGGATCTTCTCATTTTGCAGCCCAGAGAACCAGACACTCAGTACTTCCAGCTTCTGAGGAGGTATTAGAGAAGGAGAACTTGGACTGAGGATGCGTGGACACTATACGAACTCACCCTGCTGCCTTCAAACACAAAGGCTTGGTCATCAGCCCCCAGCTCAATGTCAGGCCGACAGCCTGGCCTGGCCCAGCCGACCCGCATGTCTCCTCCGGTCACCACCTCAAACTCAAAGTACCACTTTCCAGTTCTCACTGCATAAGACCGCTCTACCCGAAAAAATCGGATCTTGTCTATGCTGACTTTCTCCACAGCTGGGTCAGCTATTGTGAGAAGGAAGGTGTGTAAAGGATGTGGGAGGGAAAGAAAGAACACAGACCTTTAATAATTAGGTAGAAAGTCTCAAAAAAAACTCACAACCACCACCAAGTCTGGCCATCTCCCACTACCCATATGGCATTCTGTTTCTAATACAACAATCATCATTTTCATCATACAATAATAATACTATATACCATTTAGTGAGTGACACATTGTCATAGTTCCTTAAGGGACTATATCTGCTTTTCCTCGTAACAATCTTACAAGGTCAGCAATACCGTTTTCATTTATAGGTGAAAAAAAATTGAGGCTCAGAGAGAATAAGTCACTTATTCAAGGTCATAGAGCCAATAAACCAGCAAGCAAAGATTTGAACCCAGCTCTGACCCTAAAGCTGTTCTCTTAACCACTTGTAATACCGCCCTTGCAACCTATGATCCCAACTGGGATATGGGACAATGATGACATGTTCATCTACTATCAGCTCATGATTTTAATCATCACTAAAATTTAACTGAAGATGTGATGACCTCATCTAAAAACAAGCTAACATTCATATGTTTGGAACATAAGAGAAAAGTGACTTAGTTTTGTGACCAGGTATCCCAAAAAGCTCAGCTACCTTGACAATAACATATGACATGTAGGATTGGGTCACAGAAATGGTTCAGTGTAGAAACATCTGTCAATGGGATGATGTTTAATATCAAACATTCTCCCTCTTTTAATATACAAATACATCATTTAGTTAGACCTACTTAAAGTTAGCATTTCCCCAGAATATGACCTGTTTAACAAATTGAGGCCAAAATAAACAACCTCAACTCATTACCTAGTTCTTGATCTGATGGCTCAATGTTATACCCATAACCAACAAATGTCCGAACGGCTTCACGCAGACTGTCCCTGTTTGACTTCTTGGTACGCTCGTCCAGTAATGCATATGGCACAAGACGGGGATTTCTTTTGTTCTTTAAGTCCTATGTAAAGCCAGAGAAAAAGAAAACACATTTCAACTTCACAAATAGCACATACATATTCCAGCAACAGTCCTGGCTCATTGTAGCCTATTAGCTCTTCCCAGAATCTTGATATTTAGCAATGTACATATTTGCCACTTCTCTTCAGGATTCAATGAGTATAAATAGGAAAATTGTACTAATACTCAAAGCTAGAATTAAAAAGCATATTTTAATAATGCCAGCCTGCAAATAAAATGAAGTGTCAAGCAATTATTTAGAAACCTCCACTCCCAAAGCAAGGGAGATGATCTTCCCTTATGGAAGACCATCCATGATTTAACTGTGATAGACTGCTTGCAATAGCTTCTTAACAAGTCTTCATAGATCAGAAAAGGTAGCAGAGCCACAGGGGCTTTGCACAAGGTCCACATTGTGACAGAGTCCTCCAGTCCTTCAGAGGGACTAAGCTAATAAAGATGACTGCAGTGCTAAGTCATCCAAACTAAAATATATGTCACACTGCTTTGAACCTCTTCATTCCCCCACTCTGTATTGGTCTCCATGGCTGTATGCATGTTGGCTTCCAGATGTATGGAGGTTTGGAAGCTCAAGTATGAGTTAACTAGTACACACAGTCACCTCTGGATTTTGTTGACAGTAACCTACCACTAGTCATTACTAAAATGAGAGCAGCATTTTAAGGAAAGAGGTATGCCATATGGTTTGGAATGAACCCTTGCTCTAAATTCTGCCTAAGTCTTTGCTGTGCCCTGGCTCTCAGATTGTCTCCTGCTGTAGACAAGAACTCTGTCCAGGAATCTGTGGCCCAGCGGGTTGGAGTAAGGGGCACAGGTTTCTAAGCATACTGATCTGTCCCTCTGCTGGGCTAGTTTTCTCTCCTTTTCACTCTCTCTGGTACATACTTAGGCCAATCTGAAATATTGCTGACATGTAATGATGATTTCTGTGCACCTTACTTGGCTTTGGAGAGTGGCATGAAAGCTCAACTCACCATGGTGCAAATGGCAAGACAGGAATAAGATGCACCTGGTGGGTGTGTTTGCAGCACAATGTATATGAGTAAATCAGCCTAATAAAGGGAAAATAAGTCTATTTCTGCAAAATTGGAACTATGTCTGGAGTCAATGTCATTCTGACCATTATACATTTTGCCTTGTCTCATGACTTCATAAATATTGAACATACTATGGAATGAGGGATAGAATACAATGACAGTCTCCATCTTCCAATCCAACATCCACCAAAGCAAAAATGGCATTGTGATGGATGATCGCACCTCTTAACTTTTCCAGCATGCCTGACCCAGCATTTCTCACCTGTTGAATGCCATAGGTCCATCCTTGTTTTATTCTGTCTTTTGCCCAAACATTGTGTGCATTTTCTGCAAGTTTATCCACTAAAATTTCTTGAGGAGGTAAGAGCTTCACATCAGACAAATCCAAAGGGGCTGGCTTATAGCCATTGGACATCATGTAGCTATAAGTAAATGAAAAAATGTATTTTGAACAGTTCTTAGACTCCCTTATTCCAGACCTTGACCAAGACCACATGTTAAGAATACTATGTAAATGAAGCTACCATCACAGGTTTATGCCTTGCCGCTGTAGGTGACAATTCAAAGGAGACTACTGGAGAAAGTAGTAATTAGCACAAATCCATCCTTATCGCTAACAAAACTAGTGATATGCCCTACAAATGAAATTCAGCATGCCTCACATTACCAGAAGCTCCTTTGTCCCACCTCAAAAACAAAAAGTTGTTAAAACCAGATTGACAAGGACAAGATCTTGACTCATTTTTTTCTTTAAACAGAGATTTTTGCTATAGGGCATGTGTGCTCATCAAATAGACAGAAAGTGAGAAATCACCCTTCAGAGGGGATGGCCACATCATAATTCCTTCTCCTTCATTTTCTTCTCAGGATGTTGGGCATGCACACACACCCACCTGGTGTGAATTTTAAGCTGCCAAGTCTGGGACTTGAACTGCAGCTGACTACATGGGAGTCCAGCAACGTAACCATTATGCCATTAGCTGGTTCCTCAAATGTTTTCTTATAAATTGGCATAGAATGATCACTCAGTCTTAGAAAACTAAACCTTTACTTCTGGAATTAAAAAAAAAAAATCATGACATCAGAGAATTTGGAAGCTTGAAGTGACCTTAGCAGTTAGGTATTCAGTCTGGAAGTCACAATCTCAAATGTTTGTGATTGGATAGATGATGTGAAGTGAAATTGCTCAGTGTATGGTCAAGCAGATATATTATATGAATGGAGAAAACTGGAGTGAATTTTAGGAGTAGTTCATCATAGCTACTGGGAAGATGAGTCCAGAAGTGTCCATGGTCCCCGGGCTACTACTGCCCAGAACAGGGCCAGAACTAAATATGAAGAAGACTCATAGCTAGGTCTCAGACTACCCATGAGCCTCTAAGCAACATGAGATGCAGGTTCTATTATAGGTATAAGATAGTGTCCTGGGTCTCCCTTTCTCGGATACCTACTCTTGGGCTGAGCAAACATGCATTGACTATTGAGCATCAATCCTAACAGCCTTGGCCAGCTATCTGCCCCTCTAGCTGCTGCTTCTTAGATGTACTCTTCTTGACATAAGGAGTTGTCTATGAGAGTGGAGCTTGCAGTTTGGAAGTTTAAGAGGAAAGAAGGGGAATACCATTTGATCAAAACGGTGGTACCTTGGCTCTGAAGTAATGATAACACTGGTGTGTGAATGTGTGCACATCCAAGGCTGGTGTGCCGGAGAGTAAGCTAGTGAATAAGAGGGAAGCTGTGCAAGCAGCAAGTATCTGAACGTGTATGCACGTGACTGTCTGAATGCAGGGGTGAGAGGAAGGGTAGAACATCTGCTGATCTAGGGGGTTGAATAGAATCTTGGCAGATTTAATTTTAACAAAGGATTTCTTAGACGGGCCCAACGCCAGACAAGTTAATCTTTGCCATGATTGCCAGCCACCTTCAAGCTCCTGTGCCAACTGCTGTTCTCATGGACTGCAGACATTTCATTCATCGGACATCGTATTCATCTGAGGTCTCCACATTTCCTGGCTCAAAACTAACAGCAGTGGCATGAGGTCTGGGTAGAAGGAGCAAAAAGAGGGAAAATTCTGAAGTCCTTCTCATTTAGCAGACTTCTGTCCGAGGGTTTCAATGCCATTAATGTAACTGGGGGAGCCACCCTGAGCTGGTGTTAGCAAGTATCTGGGCCACTGTCTGCCTTTGGCCATAGGCCTTCCACCCTCCCAGTTCGAAACTTCAAACTGAGATCTTAAAATCTGAACCATTAAAAAGTCACATACTTTTTGGGCAGTTTAACTTTCTTGAGGTCCTCCTCAGCAGCTGGATTAACATGAGCAATGTGGCATCCGAGAGCCAGGAGGGTTCTGTGATGTAACAGAGGAAGAAGACGAGGTTAAATGCAACAAAAGGACAGCAAAACCCTACCCTGTGTCTGAACTAATAAAAATAGACACTAGCCATTCATTTAGACCAGAGGTTGGCAAACTTTTTTTGTAAAGGGCCAAATAGTAAATGATTTAGGCTTTGTGGACCATATGTTTGTCATAACTGCTCTACTCTGCATTATGAAGCAAAAGCAGCCATAAACAATGTGCAAACCAATGTGCGTGGCTCTGCTATAATAAAAACTTGTTTATAAAAACAGGTAGCTGATCTGATTGTAATTTGTCAATTCCTGATTTAGATGATAGCAAGCCAGAGAATACAAAGGAGAATTTTGTAAATTGCCCCTCTTGGAGATATTTTCCAGCTTATAAATTATCATTAGATTTGTATCCTACTTCTAATTCCATGGAACGGGTAAGACTCTAATATCAAATCCACAGGTCAGCAAATATTTACTGCAGGACACCTGTAGAGTATCTTGAGCTGTGCTTGATACCACGAGGCACAAAGCTATATCCTCAAGAAGCAAAGTAATAAAAAGTATCACATATGTAAGTCTTACAGAGCACTGCTAGGACAACAAAACCACCTTCTATGTTAACTGCTAGAGAACAGGAAAATACAAAAATGAACGAATACGTAACAAGCAAGAAAGAAATTGAAAATGTGAGATACCAACTTGGGTTAGAAAAGTTAGGGTCTAAATTAGGTATCTGGATATGATCACTGAGAAGCTAGAAGTTTTATCATTTTTTTTTTTGGTAGAGATTTTTCCTATAGGGTGTGTGTGCTTGCCAGAAAGACAGAGACAGAGAGACAGAAAGTGAGAAATCACCCCCCGGGCCGGGGGGATGGCCACGCTGCAATCCCTTCTCCTCCATTCTCCTCTTGGGATCTTGGGCACACATGCACATACGCCTGGCGTGAGTTTAAGCCAGTGGGTCCGGAGCTTGAACTGCGGTCGACTACATGGGAGTCCAGCGACATAGCCATTACGCTAACTGCTGGTCCCATCATTGATTTTTTAAAGAGGGATTTTTGCTATAAGGCATGTGTGCTCACCAGAGAGAGAAAGCAAGCAAGAAATCAGCTCCCAGAGGGGACAGACATGCTGCAATACCTTCTCCTCCATTATCCCCTTGGGATTTGGGGCATGCACGCACACATACCTCGTGTGAGTTTTAAGCTGGTGGGTCTGGGACTTGAACCGCAGTTGACTATGTGGCAGTCCAGTGACATAACCACTATGCCATCTGCTTGTCCCTTATTATTGAGTTTAAGTGAATTTAGTGAATCAAATCATGTTTCCCACTGGTTTTAGAAATGCCTTATCTTTTGTTCTTGATTTAACAATGGCAAGAAGCATAGTCCTTTGCTTCTAAGTTTCCCTTCTTTTTTTTTTTTTTCTGCCTCCTATTCATAACAAATAGCAAATGGCCCTTGAAGAAAAATATTGGTGGGTTGGTTATTCACTTTGCTAAATCTTCTCATGACATGAAAAATCACCACCCCCTCTAATTCATTAGAATGTGTCAAGTTTTCAGGTAAGAGACATAGCTTTGCAGTTTGTCTATAATGCATTAAATCAACCATTCACTCTTTAGTACAACTTCAACTCAATTAAATACGTACTTTAAGGTTTCAGTTGACATCTGCAGGTTATAATTCTTTTCAGTTTCGGGGAGCTTTGAAAACTCTACCAGGCAGGGGTGTTGTCTCTTATTGTCATCCCGTATCTAGGTGACAATATAAGAAAGAATATAATTTAAGTTTTTACAGCTGACACTGCTTCAGAAAACAAAAAAGCACACACTTTGAACCTGTATCAGGTGAGACAAAGACAACAACAATTTGCTGTTAGGCAGATAGATGATCTCTTCCCTAGTCAGTGAAACACAGTCCCTCAAGATGCCAATGGATCCTACTCTGTGGATTTATTTCTAAACAGATGTCTGAATTTAGATCATATTTTCCCAGAAAAGCAATTTTACACTTGGTAGCCATGCTTCCTTTAGTCTAAAATTCACATAACTATAATGGAACCTATGGGTAGCCTTCTCCGTTCACATAGGGCTACAGAATCTGGACCAGCATCATCCAGTAGAAACGTATAGTCAGCTACCAATGTGACTACATTTGCAATTTCAAGTTTTCCAGCAGCCACATTAGATATGCAAAAATAAACAGGTAAAATTAATATTATTTTATTTAACCCAATAAACGTAAAATATTATCATCTTAATAAGAAATCAATATAAATAATTGTTTATGAGCTACTCTACATTATTTTTTCAGACTATGTCTTCAAAATCCAGTGTGTATTTTATACTTAAAGCACATCTTAGTCTAGACTAGTCACATCTCAAGCACTCAGTAGTCACATATGGCTCACGACTGCTGTACTGGACAGTACAGATCCAGATCAGACAGTAACTCATTTGTTCATTCAACCAATGTTTGCTGAATGCCTATACAAAATGACAGCCTTAAATTAAGCTAGACCACAGGGGTTCAGTGATGAACCCAGAGAGCCACACTCTCATGATGTACAGTGTAATGGGGTAGGGGACAATAATAAAACAATTAGAACTGAATGTAAAATTGCAATCTGGGTAAGTTCTCTAATGGAGAGGCTTGTGGTGCTACGAGAGCACAGAGCTGAGAGGCAGCCGCAGGTAAGGAGGGCACTCTATGGTGGCTACACAAATGCATAATGTTAGGACAAAATGCAAGGACCTTTGCAGGACTGAAGCTGGGGGGTGGGGTGTATCATGACGATGTCGGGGTCACAGGAAGCAGGAGAACTCATCTATCCTTCTGCCTTCAGACATGACCTCACACAAATCCCAGAATACAGTCATTTTCCATCCTCTTTGAAAAATGCTTCATAGTGAAAGAGATTCCCTAACCTCCTCTGAGTGTCTATTAATCTTAGTGATACATCTGCAAACTATATTAAATAACTTCTGACTCAAAACAATGAATCAGCCTCTTTTCACTACTCATGCAGAGAGGGCAGTTTTTCTGAAGAGAAAGAGAGACATGAGTGTCCTGAAGGAGGTCAGGAGCCACTCCACAACAACCCTCAAATCAAGGAAACCAGCATTTGGGAGTAAGAAGGGATTTGGAGTGTAGTCTATCTCTGAAGAGCTGGTCTCTGCAGGGCTCCTGGTGGTAGCCACTCAAACGACTGGGACTGCTGCTAAAAGGCAGCGAAGAGACAGCTGGCAGAAGGAAGCTAGCTCTGGCTCATGAGGGTCCATGTTCATCTGAGCCTTTGAACCTTCTCAGATCAGAAGGCTATCCAACCCTCTTCCCCAGCCTGGCCACTGAAACACAGACCTTGCCATAAGTCCAACCAAGTTCTATTTTATTCATTCCCCAAAGCTCATGGATGTTTTCAGCCAGTCTGTCTCGGATCTTCTCTAGGTGAAGCGGCAAAACCACCTGCAAGAAGAGGAATAGGCAAAAGGTCAGAAGTATAAAAGTCAACCATACTACAATTGATCATAAAGTCTACAGGGATCAAATGTCCCAGTTGAATTCACTAGCATGTCACCCAGGAGGTACTGTTTTGTGCCTACAGAGACCGCACACTGGGGAGTCCCCCTTTTGTCCTTAGTTTACCATCGTCACTATTATTATTGTCATTTATTTGTGGAAATGCTTAAGAAATGGGAGCTTTTTCTACAAAAACCCAGGTTTCTACTTCCTCTTGAGCACCTGGAAGATAACTAATGTTGAACTCACACTCTTACCTGGCAACTATCAGCTGGAACTGAGAGCAGATGTTTACTTTAGGATGACCTGTGGGCTTGGCCCATTTCGCTTGTGGACCACCTTCCTGGCGCTGCCATCTCTGCTTTATTAGAATTATTTTTCATGTGTCCACTATTATAATTCCACTATTAAAAATAAAAATCCTGGTTCTTTTCAGGTGGGGGAGTGCTCAGAGAGAAAAATGTTCTTTTGTAGAAAGAGAGTGTTAATCTGATGAAGATATGAAAATCAAAGATAAAAGTAGCAATAAAATATTTGAAATAATTGTTATAATCACTGTTTACTTTTCAATTAAAGATGTCTAAAAAAACACTTAATCTAGTTACTGAAAAGTCAAACAAAAAGCATGATGTCTCCATAAAGAGCAAAATAGGTGAAATGATTAGCAAATGAGTTATACCTGTATTTGGATTTTTATTGGGGTTGAAGAAAATAATCTGTTCAAACTAACTGCTCCTCAGCTGATCACAGCCTGAAACTGGATTTACAGGTCAGGGGAAACCAATACTTCGGTGAAAGAGGACATTTTGGTTGCTATGGAAAAGAAGCTTCCACAAATAACCTCCATTACAATTTCAATGACCTCAACTGGTGACTACATGGGACAGTGTAACACTGACTTAATATTGGGTTGTCAGAAAAGTCATGATACATTTTTGCATAGAAAAATATAGGAAAAAAAAATGTCATGACTTTTCCGACAACCTAATTACTACCTGTGGCTCTAATGTCCCTAGGGATAGCTGTTTCTTAGAGGTGGGCTCCTTTCTCTCAGTACTCAGCAAGGGGCTGAGTGGACCCTAGACAGGGCTCTAGTTAGGCCAGGCATTAAGTGCATAGTTAGCAAGACTTAAACTGCAAACTTGGTGCATGTGCCCCAGGGAGACTCTGTGTGAGTCTTATATTTAACTTCTTTGGCAATTTCACAGAATGATAAGTTCTAAAAAATTACAAGGTCTCATTCAAGATAATAAATTGTACCCTTCCAACAAGTACTTTCCTATTATTCAATTTCACTGTACTGTTTCAGAATCTGCACAAACGCAGCTACTGGTCCAGACATCAAAGTTCTTCCAATTGGCTGAATTATCACAGTTCTTAGATTTCTAAATATACAATTCTGCGTGTTTAGAGAACGCTTCTCATTCTTGGATCCAGATCTCCTCTCCTCCCTCATCAAAATTTCCCCTTATTCTTTTAAAATTCTTTTTGAGGTCAGCTTTTTCTACACATTTCTGATTACTCAGTAAGGAGAGGCAGCAAGAGAGAAATCCCTGCTCTCTCCCCGAGCAGACACTAACATCGCTGTGTCCAGGGAGAAGCAATGTTAGTCTTTGGTCCTCACGTTTGTTGTCTACAAAAAAGTCCAGAATATGCCACAAGGGCTTAAGAATTAAAAAAAAAGTTATAAATTAATGTATAGTAATTGTACATATTTGTGGGAATACAATGTGACTTTTTAGTATAAGAATATAATGTGTAATTATTAAATCACAATAATTAGTACACTCCTCCTCTCAACCATTTGTCATTACTTTGTGTTGAGAACATTCAAAATCCTCTTTTCTGGTTACTCTGAGATATATAGCAATTTGTTGTTAGCTATATTCTCTCTACCATGCAGAAATTGTTCCTTTTATCTATCTGTAATTTTGTTCTTAAGTATTATTTTGAGCTGAAGACATCTGAGAAACAAGCGATATAGGAAGAGGTCTTTCTTGAATTCCCCTTATCTGCCTAAAACAGGCTTCCCAAAGAATTCAACTGTTCCTTCACAGTAAAGATTATCACATCTAGACAGACATTGTCACAAAACTGTCACATCTCCCACTGTTCTAAGAACCTATTTATCTTCCCCAGAGTCATTTGCCTTTCCAAAAGCACCCATCTCCCTTACTTTTTTCCTTATTAAGATGGTATATAAACACCAAATCCCAAACTCCTCCCCAAATCACATTTCTTTGTGAATGCACTGGGTCATTAAAATCTGTTTTTTTCTTGCTAATCTGACAGTTTAAGTTTAATTAGCAATCCCCTCAATTATAGAGCCTAAAGTTTAAAGAAAAAAATTTTCCTTCTTGACACCTATAGAACATGCAGGAAAGAGATTACCTGATTCTTAGGATAATTTCTAGCTCACAAACTCTTCCCAATTTCCTGTCAATGTTCTCAACTCCCTCCCCACTCAAGGTGCTGTTCTAGACTCAGTGAGCAGGCAGACAGCTGTTGTGGCTACTCTGTGGGATTCACCATCTTCAGTTACAAGAAACAAGAAAACTCAAGAACACATACAGCTAAAGGTAACAGGGTCATATAAATACTAATGGGAAAACATGCTAGACACATTCTACAGGCTGAGAGAGCTGTATTAGTAGTATAAACTATAAATACCAGGTGCCTTAGAGACAAGATCACTTTTCACATATATTCTCTAATACCTAGAACAGTAATTCAAATAGTGCTCTGGAACCACAGGAAATGCTGACAGCCACTGCATGTCCCTTGTCATACCATGTGAATGTGCTGCTCTGAAATACACCAGGATGGAAAGAACATGGCTATTTATCAGAACTTCCCAAACTCTCTACACTATTCCATTTCTCTTCTTTTTTAACTCTTCTACATGCTCTTCCTCTTTCAACAATCCTACCATGAGAGCATTCATTGCCACTTGTTCCTACTTCCTGTTTCCAGTTCTAGGCCCCTCCCCATTTCACCTTATTGAAAGCTCTCAATGAATCTCACCCTCTCTATACAGACTTCTGGAAACATCTAGCCTGAAGGATATATCTAGCAATTACTAGTACATACTATTCCTTTGGCACATATTATAAACTCGGCCTTTTAAAAAAAGAAACAGTACAGTTGCTTTTTTAAGTCTTCAACTTGGTTGGGAATTCCCAGAGAATTCCCAGAAATATTTCTGCCTGTGCTTCACAGAGCATAGCGCCTTGGTCGTGGCAGGCACTGAATATATTGCTGACCAGAAACTCCTTGAAGGTCTATACACTTGGTAGCCAAATGAAAAATAATAGTTGCTTGCATTACACGTTTTTTTCTATATAATACATAGTAAGATTAGCTCAAAGATAACAAAGAAGAAAGACTTAACTCTAGCACTTCATCTGTATGGGTTGCCTCTCATTGGTAATTTGGACCCACCTGACTGGTGTCTATGGGGCATGGAATGAAAGAGGCCTGGGAAAGGAACTGGGTGGTACCCAACAAATCTCTCACGCCTTCAGTATCACGTTTATATTCTTTGACAGGCTCCAATCTCATCTTCTCTTTTGGTAGTAAGGCTTCGTAGCAAGGTGCATAGCCAGAGGGAGGCAGGAACTTAAATTCTCCATGACGTCCACCCATCAAGAAACGTACTCTGTGTTACCAAAGAGAGCAGGAAGAGAGAGGTCAAAAAAAAAAAAATCTCAGCTCAGATAAATAAAAATTAAAGATCAATTTCCAAAATAGTGTTGTTAAAAGTATCTGAATTAGATTTGGCACAGCAAACATCCTACAGTGTGCAATAAAGTATACTGCGAGACAACCCATTCAGCTAAGTTCTCATTCATTTATATATAAAATCACAAGGTTATTGTTTTCTGCCAGGGAGAGGCAGAAAAAAAGGAAGAAAGCACCTCTCAGCAGGTGTGTGGTCATGCCCAATCTCTAGTCTTCTAATTTTCCATCCTGTTGTGATTTTAGGGCATGCAAGCATATGCACCTGGTGTGTTCTCAAGCTACCAGAGCTGAGACTCGAACCACTCTAAGCCATGTGGGATCTGGCTCCCTTAGCCACTGGTCTGTGGAACTGGCCCCACATTGCTACATTTTTAAGACCAACTTTATTTTTACTCTATCAGGTAAATAATTGCTATAGATTTTACTGTAGTATTGAAGTCAATGATAATACAATTATCCTCTGTAAAGACCATATTGAAATTATGGTATGAGACCTTCAAGTGTTCTAACTTGGGGGAGATTATTCACACATCGAAGGGGGGAAAAACATGATGTGATGTTACTATGTAGTAAAAAAATTTTAAGTATTATCTTAATATTACAGCAAAAATATTAACACCAGAGTATGAAATACAAATGGTATACATGGCCGGTGATATTACTTAATAGAAAACAAACAGTGCAGAGGCTGCAGTTTCTCAAACCAGCCATATGAGGGCAACTCTGAGGAGGTAGCCGTGGCTGCCTAGGAACAAATGGCATCAAGTGTTACTAGGATGCTAATACCTTTTTCAGGGGCACAATACCCTTGCTGGCATCTAGGCCTGGTATCCTGATCCACCCCAGCAATGTCTACTGGGATCTCCCAGGAAGAGGAAAGGGCATTAGGACATTTAGGGGCTCACCATAATGGAAGATAGATACTAATTACCAAAACGCAGAAGTTTTCTGATAACAGTATTTTAATTCACCATTCTGACTGAATGTCAGCAATAGATAGATAGATAGATAGACAGATAGATTGTGAGTTCTCTTTCAAGAAGAGGGTAAAAGTGGAACTATTACGAAATGATATCTCATATAATATGATCCTAGGTTTGTAATCAAAAATAAAGTTTCACAAATCAACTGCAATTGCATTAAACTGATGAGAAAAATATGACCACAGTTTTAAGTAATTAAAATATGACAAGATATGTTGCCCTGGAGGCTCAACAATAATTTCACATGGGAAAAAAAATCTGTGTACAGTGTCTGCATACAACATTCATTCACTACCTCTCTCTTCATTTAACAGGTTATTTATTGAGCCTATGTAACTTGCAGTTATCTTTGCTCCAAGATTCAGCAATGCATTGTCCCTGGTATTGCAGTCTAGGTATTCCGGTGGACAAACACGCATAATTACTGATTGGGAAACATCTGATGCGGGAGTAAAGATGGAGGTGTGAAATGGGGTGACTCTTGGACATGATGTTAAGAAAGGCTTCTCTGAGTAGAAGCCACAAGAGTTAACTCTGAGGGCTGCAGAAGAGCCCACAAGTTCAAGACCAGGAGGAAGAAATTTCAGGCAGAAAAACATATACCAAGGCTCTGAGGTGGGGAAGAGCTTGGGTGGGCATAAACGCAACCAGGGGCAGAAAATGAAGGGGGAGGGGGAGGGCTGTATCAGCAGGATCTGTCAGCTTGTCAAAGAGTTAAGGTCTTATTCCAGTAGGGAAGTTGCTGATGGGTTTTTGGGAGAGGAAATACAAGGAGACTTAAAATAAAAAATCCCGAGAAATATACTTAAAAGCACAAATTTATTTTGGTGCAAAAATTTTGAAATCTGTGCGTAGTTTTTTTGTAATACACATTTCCATGAACTTTTTGAAGACCCTCTGCATTAGAAGATTTCTTCTAACTGCCCTATGTAGATAGTCTAGGGACTAGTTGGGAGGATTTAAAGTAGTCATGGGGGTTGGAGGGGTTGGGGGGTGGACCAAGATGGTCTAAACTACCAGATTCCAATTTTGTTTTAGAATTAAGATTGCTAAGGAACTGCTGGTGGATTGAGGTGCACCTGTGGAGGGGGAAGAGTCTTCAGAGGAAGGTTATAACATAACAAAGCTCTCGTGGTAGGACTCTCCACGGAGCTTTAGTTCCTTTATCTAGAACATTCTGGCAAGACAGCCTGGCAAGAGAGAATCAGTGTTGGCTGCATAATTGCAATTGTGGAAATAGTCTCGTTATGAAACTGGAAAATAAAAATCTCCCGTAGTGAGAAATGTTTCTTTTTTCCCTTTCCCAATAAGATACTTCATCCAAACAGCATTTTATAAAATATTGTTTGAAAATTAATTATAGAATTCATACAAAACCTCCTACTTTCCCATTGCAAAGTGCTAACAATGATGACATAGAATTAGAACCACAATAGTCCCATGTGAATGTTCCTGCATTAAGTGTTATGTAATAGGGCATAATCTATGTGTATTAAGAATATGAACAATGACATCAAAGCGAAATTGAGTCATTAGCCTGCAGTGTTACTAATTTAGTGAACCTTCAGGAAATAATGACTAAGCCTTGAAATGATTTGTTGAGAACTTCCCAATGCAATTGCAACATAACGTTGTGTTACTGACAGGTTAACAACACGGGATAAAATTGGATCTTTCTCAGCAAAGAACTGGTGTGGGAAGTTTTCTGCCTCTCTTCTCTCACTGAGCATCCTTTCTGTGAGAGGCTGCATGCCTGGGAATGTGTACAGCAAGGGTGTTCTGTTACTCTCTAGGGTAGAGAGTGCGAGAACAAGTACATGGTTTCTTATGAGGAGTTTTATGTGGACTTAATTATGTATGAACTCTCTTGCCAATTCTGTTTAGCTTAAAAATTTCTTTTACATTTTAAAATCTTCTGAATAGATAATAAACCAAGAAAGGAAGAGTTTCATGCAGCATTTAAAGAGAGCAGTACTTTCTGTTTTTACATTTGGTTATTAAAAGGAGGGTGATAATTTGGTCGTAAATCTTAATTTTATCACTTTTGATGGCCACAAAAATTGTTAAATGAAAAATGAACATAGGCAGAAATCTGTGTTTACTGCTTACTGAGGTTTTGGTCTTCATACATCGTTACGCTGTGCTTTGTTGTGTAAAAAAATGGTCCTGGATTGCTTCAGAAGCTCAGACCTGTTCCCTGGAAGGTGGGATTGAACAGGAACCAGTCCCAGGTATGTCCTCAGTCTATGGTTTCTTCCCTCCTTGCCTACAAACAGCTGGCTCAGTCTGTGGGAAGGGGTCCACAGAACCACCACCAATATTGGTGGTCCCTCCATACCTTGCCTAGGGAAATCAGGATTGATGAGGTCAAAGGAAATAACTAGAGACAAAGTTTTAAGGGATCAATCAATAGAAGGAAATAAAATGCCTGAAACTCACTTTAATTATTTAAGTATACGAGAGTGGGCTCCCCACTGTTTCAGACTTTTGACAGAAGTTCCAAAGGCAAGTCTGAAAAATTCATAATTCCAAGGATGCTAATTATTTTCACATCATAAAATGAGGTGCTAGGTCAGCTATTCAGGATCTACCAGAAAACGGAAACCAGTTCTATCAGCCTCAGCCCACATCACATCCCAGATGGATAAAGAAAAAAATCAGTTTGGAGAGAACTGCTAGGGAAAAAGGGAGGGACTTTCACCCTATCTGAAGTCAAGGAGTGAGGACTTCAAGGAACTACTTGGATGCTTGACCAATGTCCCCTGAAGTTTAGTGAGGGACACACTGGCCTGGTGCCAGGGCAGAGGGAGCAAGAAAGAGTTACCCTTTTGCTTGAGAGAATGCCAAGGGGCAAGATCCCTGCAAGGCCAGATGTAACTCCATAGATGAGCTTTTGTCAGTCATCTCAAAAGGGACTTTGCACAGAAAGGCAGATGACTGAACAAAGGTCAGAACCCAGCAGCAGGGGAGGTGGAGGGAGAGGCAGGAGGAGATTCGGGGTCAGTAAGAGGGAGCTGTCAGTGGAGGTGATAAGGCTTATGTGAAAAGAACTGTGGTAGGTGGCGTCCAGCCTGAGGTTTGCTAAGAAAACCACGGAAAGAAGAAAGAGACAGCAGTTGTACAACTGTGTACAAAGGCCTGCTGGCACATGACACCAGCACCAACTCCATAGGACGGGCCTCTCTCCCAGGCCTCTACCCCAGGGCTCAGCTCTAGTCGGATCTGAAACAAGCACAGAATAACCTGGGAGGAGGCACACTGATGGCGAGAAGAAGCCGACCTCACACTACTGGCCTGAAGGTGGGGGGTGGGGGCTCACACCTGAAACTGGATTTGCTCTGCATTCTATATTCAAATAGAAGAAACTTTCAAATCACTGACAAGATTGTTTTGTTCCTGAAAGGAGCAATCATAGCTATAGGACTTGCCTACAAACATGATGAGGGCTTTCAGAAGTCCAGAATATGGATTTATAGAGGAAGAAGGAGAAATAATAAAATTACACCTACCTAGTCTATTTCCCTAAGAAACAAATGACTGGGCACATCCTATCTTTTAAATCTTTTGTTTCATTCTTAAATGAGAAATGTCCCCCTAGAATGTAAGTTCTCTAGATGTCTTCTTCCCTGCTCCTTGGATCTACTGAATCTCCAGGCATATTTAAATGTTAAATTTAAAGTAAATTTTTCGAAAAGAATTGAGTTCATAAAATTAGTCCTTTATCCTCAGGTTTTTCTCTATATTAATAGATTTGAAAAATCAATTTCATTAATCAATTTGAATTCTTCCACTAAAACATTTGTATCATCTTCTTGGGTTCTTCCTATAACTCAGACATCCCATCAGAGCTCAAAGATTTTTTTTTTCCCCCTAAAGTGTTTACAGTAAGCAACTGTGTCCTTAGATTCCTTTATTTCAGACATGGGCAACAGAT